CCTTTGTGCTCCGCGTCTGCCCTCCGCGCGTGGGCAATTCCCGTGGGCAGAATTCTAAAGGAAAGGGCACCATGAAATCGCCGTTCGCGAACGCGGAAAGTCCCTTGTGCCGCACGCCTGTCCCTCGCCTTTGCTCGGTCTGCAGCACACACACGTAGGCGGGCCGGAGGGTGGGGCGGCTCCCTGGCGCTCTTGACAAAGCTCCCACCTTTGTCCCTCACTCAGGAGTGCAAGTAAGTGAGTGGGGAGCGATCGTACCCCGAGACGAAGTTAAGCGCGTTCTAAAAGTAAATCACTTAGAAACCCTAACGCATTAACTGTCGTTAGCGACAAATTATTTGTCACACGGCTCGCAGCTGGTTGAGATCTGCCTGCTGAGGAAAACCTGGTTCTCAACAATTGCGAGAGGTGTGTCCTGCTCGCACCTGTCCCTGGCTGGGGCTCAGGCCTCGCCATGTTGCCTCGTGACCCCACTTCTGGCTCGTTCGCTGCGCTCGGAGGGCCTTGCCTCCCAGTTGCCACCTCTGCTGCATCTGAGCTCCACACACGCTTCTGGCTTAATCTTCGTTTCTCTGGATTTACTTCTTTCGCAGTTCAAATCGACTCCAGACCTTCTCCGAGACCAGCAGGAGGCAGCCCCACCCGGCGGTGTAGACCACGTGAAGGCGGCCATCTATGGCATCCTGAGGGAGGGGTGAGTGGGGCGGTCCAGCGCGGAGTCGCACCGCTCGCTCCTTTTCCGTCCAGCTTCCTTCCCCATCCTCCCCGCTCTGAGCCCGGACTTCCCTCATCCTTGCTACCTCTTTCCTCCCCTAACCTTGGCTTTTGTCCTTTTCTCCTCCAGAAGCCCAGAAAGTGAAACTTCTGTAAGGAGGAAGGTCAGTTTGGTGCTGGAGCAGATGCAGCCTCTGGTGAGTGGCCTTCTCATGGTGGGAGCAAGGGTCAGGCTTAGGGCCCTTGGGGCCTCAGGAGCTGGATGTGGACTCACTTCCTTCCTCGTGTCTCTGGCAGGTGGCTTCTCCTGGTTCTTCTAAGGCCCTGGCAGGGCAGGGCGAACTCACCCGAAAAGTGGCGGAGCTTCAGCAGAAGCTGGATGAAGAGGTGAAGGTGAGGAGAAGTAGAGGTCCAGGAGGGAGGCAGGCCCACGGGGAGAAGACCGTGGCTCAGGCCAGCTCCTCCAAGCAATGGGGCGAGCACTCGCGTGTCCTGTGAGACCAGACGAGAGTTCGTGCTGGTCCCAGCAGGGACTTCTGGGAGTCCTCGGAGCTTCGACAAAAGGAACACATCCCTCAGGGGTCCGGCCGCTTTCCGTTCCGTTTCTTTCGGCCGTTCCCATCCTGGCTCTGCCACTTACTGGCTGTATAAATCGTGAACGAATTACTCATGTCAGTTCTTTTCATCGTCATAATAATGATGACGATAATAGTAGCTGCCATCTATTGAGTATAATTTTTGTAGTAGGCGCTGTCCTGGGTAATACATAATAATTACAGTGACCCTGTAGAGTAGGCATCCTGGACTCTTCCGAGGAGAAAATTGAAGATCAGAGAGGTTAAGTGAATTGCTCAAGGTGGTAAGAAGCAGAGAAGAAATTTAAAAATTCAGGTCAGCCTTATTCAATAGCCTATGGACTCCTGCTCCCCTCCGCCCTTTAAAAAATACCACTGCCAACTTCTACAATGTGGCCCGTTTGTAGCTGGTGCTCAGTAAATGTTGGATTATAACTAACTCCCCTTGTTTCCTGGAAACCAGTGTAGCATAGGAGTTAAATGGTGCACTGTGAAGTCAAAACTGAGCTCGAATCCTGGTGCCCTTAGCTGTTGGCTGTGTAATTGACCTCGAGCAGGTTCTTTAAATGTTCTAAGCCTGTGATTCCTTAACTGCTAGGTGGGGAGTATGATGGTGCTGTATCAGTTATCGATTGCTGTGGAACAGATTACGTCAGAACTGGACAGCTTAACGCAAACATCTCCCAGTGTCTGAGGGCCCAGAATTGGGGAGCAGCTTGGCCGGGCCATTCTGGCCTGGGTCTTTCATGAGGTTCCAGTCAGGGTATTGGTGGGGGGCTACAGTCATCGGAAGACTTCACTAGGCTTGGAGGATCTGCTACTGAAATGGCTTACTCCATGGCCCTTGGTAGGAGGCCTCACTTCCTTGCTGTGTGGACCTCGTCACAGGGCTGCTCAAGTGTCCTCACAAAATGGTAGCTACGTTTCTCCAGAGTGAGCGACACAGGGAGGACATAGAGAGGAAGCTGCAATGCCTTCTTCTGACCTAGTCTCAGAAGCTACACGTCACTGCCTCCTTTTTCTGTTTGTTAGGTGAGCGTCCCTAGGTCCAGCCCTCACTCAAGCAGAGACGCTTTACCTTTTGAAAGGAACGTCGTACATAGCATTGGTGGATGTATTTTAAGCCATCACAAGTACCGAGGCTTGTCGTGAAGGTTAAAGGCAGATAATGTGTGCATGAGGTCCCTGGTCCAGCGCCTGTCACAGAGCGAGTGTCAGTGAATGTTAGACACCCCCATTACTCCACGTCCTGCTCGCAGGCGCCCCTGCTCTTCACCTGCTGTACTCTCCTCTCCTTTTCCAGAAGCGGCAGAAGCTAGAGCCCTCCCGGGTGGGGCTGGAGCGGCAGCTGGAGGAGAAGGAGGAAGAGTGCGGCCGCCTGCAGGAGCTGCTGGGGCGGAGGCTGGGGGAGGCCCAGCAGAGCACCAAGGAGTGAGCACTGCGGTGGTGCACGTGGGGGGCTGCTGGGGGCCCAGGCCGGAGTTAGAGGCTGCCCTGGGGCTGAGGGAGACGGGGAATCTCCGGAAGCTGGAAGGAGAAGACAGGGATGGCTTAAAGATGGGACGTCTCCTTACTTCTCGGTCTGTGATGGTGACGGTGCCCGAGTTAGGCTGACGGTCTGCCTCTGTGCCTCGGGTTCTTCATCTGCGAAGTGGGTTAACGACAGTACCTATCTCACAGGATCGTTGTGAGGCTTCTTCAATCACTCATTCAGCAGATGTTTTTGCAATGAGTGCCGTGTGGTAGGCAGTGATCTGGGTTCCTGGGTACGTCAGTGAACCACACAGATGAAGGGCCCTGCTCTCCAGAGGCCTAGTTTCTAGTGAGGGGGGATGGGCCGTAAGCAATAAACGCATCCTGTAAGCAAACTTGTCATATGTGAGAAGGTGAGAAGTAGAGTAAGCTGATCGGGAGGGCCGGGTTGCGGGGCAGCAGGTTATTATATTCGATAAAGTGGTCAGGGAAGGCCTCGCTAAGATTTGAGCAAAGACTTAAAGGAGGCATAAATGAATTAGTGCATGTAAAAGGTTTAGAGAACCACCTCCTGACATGTGGTACAGATAATCAATAATCTATTATTGATTATCAGGCTCCAGAACATGAAGCTCCTCCTGGACCAGAGTGAAAGGGTACGACGCGGGCTGGAGACCCAGGTGATGGAGCTGCAGGACCAGCTGAAGCAGGCCCAGGCCCCTGAGCCTGCCAAGGAGGTGCTGAGGAAGGTAGGGAGCCGGGCTGGGTACCCCAGCCTCTGCTTCCTTTCGGCTAGAGCATCCTCAAGTCTGTTCATCTACAGTTTCCTCTAAATACGGGGAGTAGGTAACTGATGGCGGGTACCTCTTAGTGCGCTTTCGGACAGACCCAGTGGCGGGTGGGACTCAGGCCCAGATGGCGGGTTTCCTCTATCCTAACAAGGCATCTTGGAGGGCAAAGTACACCTGGTACCGTGCCTGATAAACACTTTTCGATTGACCGACTGCATGTGACGAGGCAGGGATATCCTGATACAGTCACCTCTGTGCTCCCACCGGCACTTTCCCCAGGACCTGTTAGAGACCCGGGAACTTCTGGAAGAGGTCTTGGAGGGGAAACAGCGGCTCGAGGAGCAGCTGAGGCTGCGGGAGCGCGAGCTGACAGCCCTGAAGGGGGCCCTGAAGGAGGAGGTGGCCTCCCGGGACCAGGAGGTGGAGCAGGTCCGGCAGCAGTACCAGCGAGACGCGGAGCAGCTTCGCCGGAGCATGCAGGACGCGACCCAGGCACGTGGCAAGAGCAGGGGCTGGGAGCAGAGGACACTCCCAGGAAGGGGGCTGCCTCGAGGTCTTGGTATTTTGGGACTTGTCGTGGTCATAGCTGGAACTCCCCCTAGAAGACACAAGTGAGATGTAATGAAAACCTTGGTCAGGAAGCCTGCAGGCCAGAGTCCCATGGGGACGTAACGGGGGGCTTCCTGTAGATGGCAGGGGCAAAATGACTTGGGGAGAGAGCCTCTGCTAGCATCGTACCAGGTACCACGGGGGGTCAGGCCGTGCAGCTGGCATGGTGCCCTCCAGGCCCGAGCCTTCCCTTCTGAACACTCACACTTGGATTCGACGCGAGCTCTTCCCTCTGAGCCCCCTGCCTCCCGGCCCCCCTTCCTTAGGACCATGTGGCATTAGAGGCCGAGAAGCAGAAGATGTCAGCCTTGGTGCGGGGGCTGCAGAGGGAGCTGGAGGAGACCTCAGAGGAGACGGGGCATTGGCAGAACATGTTCCAGAAGAACAAGGAGGAGCTCAGAGCCACCAAGCAGGAGTAAGGACCTCGCCCCTCTCCCGGGAATGCTCCCCCGTGCCTGCCATCCAGGCCCCCGTCCTTTCCCCGCATGCCGTGCTCTCTGCTGCCCCACTCCTCAGACTGCTCTTCTCCACAGCCACCTCCCTCCTGAGAGCTGGGTGCCCCGTGTGTCGGCCTCCGGGGAGGTGGTTTTCATTGTCCTGCTACCCTCTCCCAGGCAGCTGGCCTGACCCTGTTCCCTTTCAATTCACCTGTCCGGGCTCAGACTTCTGCAGCTGCGAATGGAGAAGGAGGAGATGGAAGAGGAGCTCACGGAGAAGATAGAGGCCTTGCAGAGGGAATTAGGGCAGGCCCGAGCTGGAGCTGGAGATTCTCGCCAGGTGGAGGAGCTCAAGAAGGTACTTGGGAGGCGGGGGCAGAAGGGCAGGTTGGGGTGATGCGCACCTGCCTCCCTATCCACGAGGGCCCCCACACTAGTGTGGCTGTCTCCCTGTGCTTGGTTTTCAGGCCCCATCCTGCCTGCTCAACCTTATCTCTTCCCAGCACATCCAGCGGGGCTGGTTTCATTGAGTAGAGGAATTTCTAGTGAGAAGGGCTCGCAGTGGCCAGATTGAGTTACAGCCAGAAGCTGCTGGCTGACTCCCAAGAGACCTCATGGATAGTGGCGTTTAGGTGGATTTGTGAAACTCTAAGGTCATTCTTGCAAGCTTGGAAACCTAACTTGATGAGCAAAGCTTGCTCTGCCTGCAGAGGGTCCTCATTTAAATGTAGAATGCCAGTTTATTTGCTTACAATGAGAACTGTAGTCACGTGGGCTGGAATACTTGCACTGGCCTGGCCAGCTGACCTACATGGGAAATCAAATGGCAATTTTTTTTTTTTTTTTATGCAAGGCAACCTTTGGTTGACCTCACAGATTGCAAAGACCTTGTCAGCTTACAATCTCTTATTTTTTTATTTTTTACACCTACAGCACCTGGTCTTCGTAGGTGGTCTCCCGTCCAAGTACTAACCAGGCATGACCCTGCTTAGCTTCCAAGATCAGACGGGATTGGGCTTGTTCAGGGTAGCATGGCTGTAGACTCAAATGGCAATTTGAAAACTGCTTAGATAGTATGGAATCTAGACACAGGGAATTAAATTTTTTTATCACATGTAGATATTTTATAAATGATAAGGGCATACAATCGAAGCGAACACACAAATTATTTCTTCCTTTATATTCCTGGTACTAGTTTATGAAAGACAACAAATCAACTGATTATTTTCGGTTATTTAGAAACTTGGAAAATATTTCCTAAATTATAGGAAACTGGCATTTATGACCTCTTGAGGATCCTTCTGGGTCTACATTTTTTGATTCTCTTGCTGGAATCATGCTGTCATAGTAGGTACTCACTTAATAAGTGATAATTAGTCAGTGTTTTATCATTCTTTTGCTATAAGAATGCCTAACCATAATCGAGGTGATCGTATTTTTAAGTGAGTGAAGAAATATAGCTCTAAATGCCGATTTTCCAGATAAATAAAAGCCTGGACTTACACAAAATATTTGGTGGAAGAAAACATAATAAACGTTAACCAACTGTACTTTCGTGGTTCTGAAATCAAAACTAACTCTTAAATTTTTACTATATTGTTATGAAGTGGACAAATATCACAAAAAGTCTAAAGTCCGTTCACCGTATTCGTCCGTAGAGTGAACCTGGATATTCTCTGGACAATCTCAGTTGGATAGAGCTAAAAAAACGAAAAAGTACCAATTAGTGTTTTATTTAGCTTATAAAGTAAGTGTATTTCATCAAATATTTAGTCAATAGACAAAACATACATTACAAAAACAGACTAACCCGGTCCAGTGTTGATCATCCATGGGGCTGTTTTTCTTTGTAACTGGTTTGGTTAGTGTCAGACATCGAAGATTCACTAGGTGTCTATAACCTACTTTCTGAATTTCAGAAGTAGTTAATAGCTAAAGAATTAGTGCCAGAACTCACATTTCACCTTTTTTAAAAAGATATCATCGGCACCACTATTTATCGTGCACACATGTTGATTTTCAACACATTTTCTTCTTCTTTTAATAGTCAATCCTTTTTCATCCATACCCTCATCTTTTCTCACTCCACATAAGTTTTTAATGGATTTATTTCACATACCGTAACATTCGCCCTTTTAAAGTGTACAAATCGAGTAGATTTTAGTATAGTCACAAAGTCATACAACCATCACCACGGTCTGATGACAGAACACTTTTATCGCCCCAAACAGGAACCCCATATCCATTGGCAGTCGCTCTGCCAGGGTTGCCCCTGGCAACCACGAATCAACTTTCTCTGGATTTGCCTATTCGGGACTTTTCATTTAGTTGGATTCTGATAAGATGTGGCCTTTCGTGTGTGAGATCTTTCACCTAACGTGATGTTTTTCAAGGTTTACGTGTGTTGTATAGCAAGTGTCAGTACTCCATTACTTTTTACGGCTGAATAATATTCCATTGTACGGACATAACCACTTTTGCTTATCGGTTCACCAGTCGACGGGCGTTTGGGTCATTTCTCTATTCTAGCTGTAACGACTAACGCCGTGAGCATTCACGTACGCGCTTTCTGTGAACACGCGTTTTCAGTTCTCTTGGGCACGTGCCTAGGAGTGGAATTGCTGGGTCACGTGGTACCTGGCTAACTTCCGAGAAACTGGCGCTGGGCACAGCATTTCACGTCGCCCGGCGATGCATGGGAGCTCACCGTGTCCGGCTTCTGGTGTCGCGGGCTGGCTCCGCCCTGGCACCATTCTCCTTCCCCTGCAGGATCTGTGCCGGGCACAGGAGGAGCTCAAGGACCTGCGGGCCGAGCGGCAGAGCCAGGAGGTGGCCGGGCGGCTCCGGGAGCGGGAGCTGGAGAAGCAGCTGAGGGCCGAGACTGACCGAGGCCGGGGCCTGGAGCAGCAGAACGTCCAGCTGCAAAAGACCCTCCAGCAACTGAGACAGGACTGTGAAGACGCTTCCAAGGCAAGGGGAGTGGGCACAGGGCTTAGGAGGTGGAGGCTCAGGGGTCTGGAGGGCTGAGGAGCCGGAGGGCGTGGAAAGTTACCTGTCATGGGTACGTACAGACCAGATCCTCGGTCCCAAGTGTGTGGTTGAAGCAGCCAGGATTTGGCAGGGGGAGGCCTGGCTGTACCTGGTGACACCCGCTGTGGGGGTGGGGTTCTGCGGGCAGCCTCCGGCTGGTGGCGTTACCCCACTTTAAGTCTGGTCCTTGTGGGCTCTCTGGGGCGGCTTTCCGGGGGGTGCTCAGTGACCCGGAGCCCCGGGGTCTGAGCCGCCCGCCGCTCCCTGCACGGCCGCAGGCTCAGATGGCAGCAGAGGCAGAGGCGGCAGTGCTGGGGCAACGCCGGACAGCAGTGGAGACGACGCTTCGGGAGACCCAGGAGGAGAATGACGAATTCCGACGGTGCATCCTGGGTCTGGAGCAGCAGCTGAAGGAGGCGCGAGGCCTGGCGGAGGGTGGGGAAGTGGCGGAGGCTCGGCTTCGGGACAAGGTGCAGCGGCTGGAGGTCAGTGCTTCGGGGGCGGCATCGGCTCCCTCGGGGGCTGTTCTCTCCAGTCCTTGGCTACATGCGCGGCCTTCACTTTTATTTTACCCTTCGAGAGGTTCTGTGTGCCCCCCTAAACCCTCCGTGCGCTGCGGGTTTACTTCCTGCACTGTGTTTCGGTGTGGACGTCCCAGCCTTTGCGTGTTCTGTGCCTTGATTTCGGTGACGCTTCCTCGGGGCCTGTTCACACTGCCCGACCTTTTCATGAATAAGTCTCCTCCTCCCCTCGCATCGGCTCACCTCCAAGTGCTGGAGCCCGAGCTTTGCCTCCTCTCAGTCCACCCCCCTCCCCAGGCAGAGAAGCAGCGGCTAGAGGGGGCCCTGGACGCAGCTCAGGAAGAGGAAGGGAGCCTGGCCGCGGCCAAGCGGGCCCTGGAGGCACGGCTGGACGAGGCCCAGCGGGCGCTGGCCCGCATGGCGCAGGAGCAGCAGGCACTGAGCCGGGCCCTGGAGGAGGAGGGCAAGCAGCGGGAGGCGCTGCGGCAGGCCAAGGCCGAGCTGGAGGAGCAGAAGCGCCTGCTGGACAGGACTGTGGCCCGGCTGAACAAGGAGGTGAGGCGTGGGGCGGCCTGGGCTCCGGGAGAGGCCCGGCTCGGAGGAAGCTCGCCCCGGGGGACGGGTGGATGTGGGTCAGAATGTGTGCTGTTCGCTGCTTCCCTCAAGTTCACTGTCGGGGAGGCCAAGGTCAGATCTTCAGAGAGCGGCACCCTCCCTACCTGCCCTCAGTGTTTTTGCCCTTCCCCCCACATCCCATTCCTTTATGGTCTCGATCCCGGAGGATGCCTCCTGGTATAAGACCTAAACGTGAGACTCTTCACGGGGAGAATTTTATATTTGGGGGAGGGGAAGGAGATAGGAAGAAAAGGAAATAAATGGCTTTTTTGGGGGTAGGGTTGTCCTCCCGATCTCTTGATAAAACTAGAGCCAACACCTAATATAGTTCATCAATTCTGAAATGCGCATTTTACCATCTCTGAAGTGGAGCGTTGTGATTGACGGTATGTCCCAGTTCCAATGGCAGACTTTTCTTAGTGGTACACTTTGTAATCACTGGCATTTTGAGTTTGTTGCAATAAGGTCATTTAAGGTTTATTTTGTATCGGGTACCGTTGTAAGCACGTCGTTGACTAAGATAATTGTCCCAACAACCTTGCGATGTAGGGACTGTTGTCCCATTTTGCAGATGGGGAGCTGAGACCCAGAGAGGACAAATAACTGGCCTCTGGTCACACAGTTAATAAGTGGCAGAGCCAGGGTTTGAACCCAGGCCCTGTGGACATTACCAGTAGCCACATGAGGGACCTAGGCCCGGAAAGAGCAAGAGGGGCCGCTTTGGCAGGAAGGACGCCCCTGGAGGGTCTGGGGAGCCCAGGTCCACACAGGGACAGAGGCGTCTGGTAAAGACAGGGAGGCCTGAAGATGCTCTTTGTTCCGTGTCCCAGCTGGAGCAGATCGGGGACGACTCCAGGCAGGCCCTGCAGCAGCTCCAGGCCCAGCTGGAGGAGTACAAGGAGAAGGCCCGGCGGGAGGTGGCGGACGCCCAGCGCCAGGCCAAGGAGTGGGCCAGTGAGGCTGAGAAGAACTCCGGGGGGCTGAGCCGGCTTCAGGATGAGGTAGGAGCCTAAGTGGCAGGAGGCTGGGAACCTTCCCCGTGTCTTGGGTTTGAAGGTCATTGCCTCTTAACTAAACCTGTGGCCCAGGGCTCCTGGGATCTGGGTTTCAGTCAAACCACTTAGAGTGACATACTAAGGTGGATGACGGCGGGGGGAGTAGCCCACCCTAGATATGGACACTAGGGGACACATTGTCTGTGAGCAGGGATTTGCAAATTGCTGACAGTCGAGTCACCTCGGGAGATTTAAAAACAAACCCAGTGCCCAAGCCGCATCCTCTAACGATTAAATCGTAACCCTGCGGCCGGGGACCTGGGATTGGTAGTCTGAAAAACTCCTTGAGTGATTCCGGTTTGTGCAGAGGGTTGTAAAACAATGAAGAAAATGGCCTGAGAGTCAGTCTGCTTTCTGTTATCACGGCGTACACCGGCAATGTTACATGCCGGTGATGAAACCTTTCTCCCCTGTGTGCGGACCCCTCCCACCCCTCAGGCCCCACCTTGCTTCCCTGAGCTGTTCCATCTTCCCTTCTGCCCAGACCCAGAGGCTGCGACAGGCCCTGCAGGCGTCCCAGGCCGATAGGGACACAGCCCAGCTGGACAAGGAGCTGCTGGCCCAGCGGCTGCAGGGGCTGGAGCAAGAGGCAGAAAACAAAAAACGCTCCCAGGATGACAGGACCCGGCAACTCAAGGGCCTTGAGGTGAGGACACTGAGGGGGTGGCCGGTGGTGGCCTAGGTCCTGGCACAGGTGCAACTTCTGTCGTCAAAGGAGCCGGGACACTCCACGCTTCTTTCTGGAGTAGGGATCGAACTGGCAGCCCACGGCTGATGGGTTTTGTTTGAATTAATCATCAGCGTTTAGAGACGTACGATGTCACATAAAATTTGTCCTCTTCTGTACGGTCGGAGAATAGGGTAACAGTGACTTTTGGCCCCGTGTTTCCGTGTGGCAGCGGCTGCTGCTCTTAAAGTGAACGCTGGTCTTTAGTTCGCTGTCTTCGGCAGTAGTAATAATGACGACAACGACGACTCTAGCGGCAGTGGCCCCAGACACTTCTGTGTGACACTGTGTGCCAAGCACTTAGGACTCGTTTAACCCTGAGAGTGACCCGGTTGGCTGCGGAGTCTTCTTTGCTCCCTTTTACGGATGAGGAAAACTGAGACTTAAGCCCCTCCATGGCCCCTCTGCTAGGAGGCAGCACAGCTGGTTCACACCCCGGCCGGCTGTCCCCGAGGCCGGACTCCGAGCCTCTACGTGGTCTTGCCCGGCTGGACTGTGTACCTGCTGCTTCAGAGTCCAGCTCTCTCCATCGGCCTTGGCTCGGCACTCACTTTCTGCTTTCCCACTGGGGAAATGGGGCTGCCCCACTGAAGAACAGATTCTGGGGTTTCCCCTCGATGCCACCCTGGTCAGCAGAGGGCAGGGGCGAGGACCGACAGCTTATGGGATGGGCGAGAGAGAAAGTCTGTGGAGGCTGGGCTTTGGGCTCCGGCTCTCTGGTGTCCAGTGGCTGGGGCGGAATGGACCTGTCGTCCCTCCGCCCCAGGAAAAAGTCTCGCGGCTGGAGGCGGAGTTGGACGAGGAGAGGAGCACTGTGGAGCTGCTGACGGACCGGGTGAACCGCGGCCGGGACCAGGTAACCCCTGCCTGACCCCGCGTCTGTGTCCACCCTGACGACACAACCCCTGGGCCCTCCCACAAACAGCTCCATCCACCCTGCCATGAAAACATAATCCGCAGAGTTCTGCCTGCCCTGTCTAAATTCTGTGGCTCCTCTCACTTGAATAGGCTGTGACTTCTCAGTCACCTGGGAATTTCTGGGATTCGGGGTTCCGGGAGCACGTTATAGTTCTTCTGCCCCCTTGGTTTGTCATCAGCCCTCCTCAAGTCTGCTTCCTGTCACCCACCCCCTAGGTAGACCAGCTGAGGACAGAGCTCATGCAGGAGAGGTCCGCCCGGCAGGACCTGGAGTGTGACAAGATCTCCCTGGAGAGACAGGTGAGGGGGACGGGTGGCGAGCCTTGGGGACAGACCCCAGGGGAGCGGGTAGGATGACGAGGGAGGGACCAGAATGGGAGTGCTAACCATGGAAGCCTCCTGTCCCGCTCAGAACAAGGACTTGAAGAGCCGGTTGGCCAGCTCAGAAGGCTTCCAGAAGCCCAGCAGCAGCTTCTCGCAGCTCGAATCTCAGAATCGGGAGTTGCAGGAGCGGCTGCAGGCTGAAGAGAGGTGACGCGAGCGGTCCCCCCGGTCCTCCCTCTCCCCCTCTGGGCTTTTCTCCTCCGAGGCTCCCTCCGTCTCCCACCTCGGACGTGGCCAACCCAGCCTCATCTTTTTGGGAGAACTGTTCTCTTGAGAGAGAACAGAGAGAGTTGCAGCAATGCTGAAATGCGAATGACCTGTGTCTCCCCGGTTCTTTGGCGCTGCCCTGGCTCCTCCCCCGTCTGATGGTGGGGCTCATGACCGAGAGGCGTCCTTGGAGGCAGTAGGAGTTCCTTTAGAAATGGTGACAGCCATAGACGTGCCACCATCTCCACCGTCTTAGGGAGAAGACGGTTCTGCAGTCCACCAACCGAAAACTGGAGCGGAGGGTTAAAGAGCTGTCCATCCAGATCGATGATGAGCGGCAGCACGTCAATGACCAGAAGGACCAGGTAGGACGGCAGCTGGGCCATGTGGCCACTACCTGCTGCGTGTTTGCTTGAAGGCCAGGGGAGGCCCCATCTCATAGGTCTTCCCGACTTAGCCTTTCTTTGTAGATGGACGGAGACTGGACTCAGAGGCCTGGATTAGAGGAGTCACAGGAAGCTCACTGAGTACCTGTGATGTGCTAGCTTCTGTTTTTAAGTGTTACACACTCATTTAATCCCCAAGACAAACCTGTGGTCACGATATTTTTGTCGGGGCAACGATCTCGTGTAGGATTGCTGCAGGGGAGGGTCCCAGGCCGTGATAGCAGCTGACGCTTTTCTAATGCGGGCACTTGGTTTCCTGCCCAGCTAAGCCTGAAGGTGAAGGCCTTGAAGCGGCAGGTGGATGAAGCAGAAGAGGAAATCGAGCGACTGGACGGCTTGCGGAAGAAGGCGCAGCGCGAGCTGGAGGAGCAGCACGAGGTCAACGAACAGCTCCAGGCGCGGATCAAAGCCGTGGAGAAGGACTCCTGGTATGGCTGCTCTTCTGCCCCGGGCCCCTCGGGATGCCGGGGCAGCGAGGGGCAGCGAGGGGACAGACGGGCTCTGCTGAGCTGATCTTTCGGGTGAGGAGGCGGGGCTTCTCATTCCTGGCCGGAAGCCAATCTGATGACCTTAGCATCTCAGCCTCCCCGTTCTCTACCCCATCCTCCCAAATCTCTGATCAGCGGAGGATCTTGGGAGTAAGCTTTTAGATCTTAGAAGAATTGGGAGATTTCCTCAGAATGAAAAGGGTGGCCGTTTTGATCTTTCTACCTCCCTCCATGACCAGCATTCCTCTCTCTGGCTCAGGCGCAAAGCTTCCCGCTCGGCTGCCGAGTCCGCCCTCCAACACGAGGGGCTGAGCTCAGACGAGGAGTTCGACAGGGTCTACGACCCCTCCTCCATCGCATCGCTGCTCACAGAGAGCAACCTGCAGACCAGCTCCTGTTAGCTCGCGGTCCGCAGCGGCCCCGAAGCCGCGGCTCGAGGCCCAGCCTGGCCAGCCGCGCTCTGCCCTGCCCAGCCTCACGTCCCTCAGCGCTGCGGGGGACCCGACGATTCACACCCGCGACGGGGAGGGGCATGCGTGATGGAGGTATAAGGGCATCGAAAGGGCATCGGCGCCAAGCTGGGGGATGGATGGACCTTCTTCCTCCGGAGGAGTGGGCACCTTAGGCGAGCGCCCTCCCTTTAAGTCCACACCCTCCCTCTTCTCCCGCACAGCAGCAGGGTGGTCGGCATCTAGGTAGAGGGGGATTGAGCAGGACAGGAAGGGAGGGAAACTGCCATGTATGTAAAGCTTTATTCTTTAACCCTTAACCCTCAGGCTCAGGGAAATCTCCTAGGTGATTCTGCTCCTTTGACTCTCGCCCTGAAGTGGGGCGAGGGGGATGTTATGGGTGACAGGGGACACGCCGGTGTGGCTCTGGGCGCTCCATGCGCCTCTTTGCACAGTTCTGGGCCCACGTGGTAGTCCCCACCTTCCCGCATTTCTGTTTTTCTGTCTTCCCCAAGCCAGTGGGTCCAGGGGCCCCTTTCTCCTCCCCTTCCCTTCCTCGCCATCCCTCCCTTCCTTCTTACCTCTCAGTGCCTTAGCCATGGCGAGGAGATAGGAATGTTCTTGCCTTTTACACTTGCACATTCATACCTCTCCAAGGACCGGCCTTTCCCCACCTGGGGACCCCAGCTTTCCCGGTTGCCCCAGGGGCTGGTCTGGAGAGCTACCGGCATCTCTGCCAGCGAGCCCCTGGGAGAGGGACTTTGGTAGCGCCATGATGCGGTGGTGGGGCCTGGTTCTGCTCAGGATTTCCACCCTCCTCTCCCTTTGCGACTGTGGGTGTGTTTATTAAATGGCTGCACCTGGGAACCGCGACAACTGTCTACACAAGTTGAAAAGCAAAGGTTCTGGTCCCTGTGGACATCCCTGTGGACATCTATGACCAAATGTGCCCACCCAGGAGCTGGTCCACAGTGGGGACCCAGGGGACCCTCTTTATCTTAGGAGCCTTGGACCTATTACAGAGCTTTCTGCCTGGGATAGAGGCTGACTCTTGGTAGCAATTGGAAGAGGCAGTGGGGGGTTCAGTCCTCCTCTGGGTTTTGGGGAGAGCCAAGCCCTGGTGGGGAAGAGGTGAGAGAGATGATTCATCCCTTATTTCCTAAGTAGGCTCTGTGAGAAGCCTGGGGGAAGAAGAAGGCTGTTCTCACCAATGACATGTAATTTCATGATTTAAAAAACATTCTCTGCAAATCAGATATTTTCTCTCAAACAAATCCAGCCTTGATTTTCATTTTAAGTAAAATATTAAAATTATGTATCTATATTGAAATTCTTGTCTCGTTTTCTCTTTGTTTTTCCTGGCTTATTTGGAGGTCTAGGTTTTATGAAAAAAAAAAAACATTTTAACTGCACAACTTAGGGGCTGAAGCTGGGATTTTCTTTACCTCACTTCTGAGAGGCTCTTTATAACATAAGATGGAGCCTAGGGAACCAGGAAGTGTTTACAGCACCTCCATTTTCTTGTAAACGAGCTTCTGGGAACAGCAAGGCCAGTAAATGCCTTCTCTGAGGGTTAGGGAAGACAGACCAGAATGGGGTTTTATTTCCTTGGGGTATTAGGATGCCTCCAGCATTTATTTACCTCCTAGTACAAAGACACCCCATCCATTCTTGCCTTTAATGGGACCCAGTCCCTACCTCGGAGGTGGGGAAGTTTCTGTCGTCCTTGCCCTTGTGTTGCCTTGAAGAGGGAGCTAGCTGTTCACCAGAGCCTATTGCCAGATTCAGGGGCGCCGCCCACTCAAGAGTGGGTCAGACCCCTCCCGCCTGCCTTGCATGCAGACCCTAGCCCAGTGGAGCAGACACCTGCAGACAGCAGCTGGGCTGGGAAGAGGCTCCAAGGTCCTGCTTGTCCATTCTCTCTTCCAGGCCCTTAAGGTGCTAACCTGGGTTTGAGGAGCAAATGCCTTTGGAGAAGTTGAGGCTCATCCTTTCTCAAAAACACAAATTCCTTTTAAGGACACGTGTCCCTCCTCTCCCAACCACAATATAAGCGCAGCTTTGGTATAATAGCTTCTGCAAAACAAGCCCCACCCAGAGCCAAACTGGCTTTGACTTCGGCCTGGGCGTCCTGCCAGGGAAGGGCACCTGCCTGACTGGCTTAGGCCAGTCTGAGTGAGCTGGCCCTTGGTGCCTGCCTTTCTACGGTGGAGGAAAGGTTTACTCAGCTCCACAAAGCCTGTATGCCGGCTGGCCTGTATGTGGGGAGAGGAGAATGTCTGGAAGCATCTTTCCAATTCTAGGGGCAGGAAGGGTGATTCTCTCATACCAACACTAATCTTGGAGTTGAAAGGAGACAGCAAGGCTGATGAAGAATGTTTGAGGTACAGCCACATACGCTAGACAAAACTTCAGTTAAGCAGCCCAGGTAGCTCCCAAGCCCCACCTCACGTATGTCTGAGCGGGGATTGGTGGGCGTACCCTGGGGCATCGAGGCCACGCCCACCCACTCCTTCGCTCGCACTCGTTGGCGAACGGCGCCTTGGGGGCGTGTCCTAGCCCGGTCCCCGCCCCTGACGCGCCTATACAAGGGGGCGGTTCCGCGCGCGCCGGTCTAGTAGAAGCTGGACCGCCGGGCGGGGAGCTCCTGTGTGCGCTGCGACCCCCGCGGGCAGAGGATGAACGGGACGCGGAACTGGTGTACCCTGGTGGACGTGCACCCGGAGGGCCAGAGCGAGGTACGGACGCGGCCGCACCGCCTCCCCGGCTGGGTCTTCTCGGTTTCCGATCCCGCCGCGGCGGGTTCGCTGACATCACCTGGTGCCGCGCTCCCAGCGGTCCGCTCCTCGCGGCGCTGCTCCTTCTCTTTTCTCCCGCCCCGCGGCGGGCCGTGGGACTCTTGGGAAGTGGCGGGTGGAGAGTCTTCTGAGGCTCGGGGACTCGGGCCGTCGCTGCCCTTTGGGAGGAGGACACTGCGGCTGCTGGCCGGGGCTCGGCGCGGGGCTCCGCTGCGCGCTCCTCGGGCGTCCTGTAGGCGGTAGAGCGGGTCCGAGGAGACCGAGCTCCCGAGGCGGGGTCTCTGCGCTCTTTCGGACTCTGGGTCCCGAAGAGGAGGATTAGGCTTTTCTGTGGGCCCTGGTGACTTCAGAGGCCCTTCCAAGAACTTCATGGTGCTTCGGGTGCTCGGTAACGAGACAAAGGGCAGAGAGTGAGTGGAATCCTAGGGCGTGGATCGCCGAGGAACGCGCTCGCTGGGAGCGACGGGGCTGTCCGCGTGGGGGGGTCGCCTCTCCGCTCGGATTTCTTCTTCCCGCTTGCAGCTCTCCTGCTCCCTTCCCCCTACCGGCCAGCCGATAGGTTCCTGGGACGGTTTGCTGGTTTTGCTTCCGTCTCCAACACCCAAGCCCGGGAGAGAGAGATGCCAGAACTTGGGCTGAGAAAGGGAGGGAGGGGACCCACGCGAGCGTTTCTGGACCTAGCGAGGATGGGGGAGGAAGGGGGCGTCCGCCAGTACTAACCGACCTGCTTTGCTCCCTTCGCTCCGTGGCTCCCTGTCTCTGTTCAGCTGACCATATGGTTTTTCCTCTCGACGGGCAGAGGAGCGTAACTTGTGGCTGGGTGCTTCCACGCTGTTGGAGAACTCAACCCAGAATGGGGGTATAGGGTTTCATCGATTTCCAAGCTATTGTGGCTGAGAGTGGAGTGGGAGCCAAGGTGATGGGGAGCTTGTATCTCGTCCTTTTCGCGTCCCTCCCCTGTATCTGATTCCCTTCCCCTCTTCCTGTCGCAGCATGCCCCTGAGGTAGCTAACCCAGCAGCACCTGGATTGGCTCTTCTTCAAGGAATACTTATAGAATAGTCGCTCATTTCAAGTTTAGGGTCCAGATGATCACTTAATTCCATTCAGTCCCCTCTCCATTTCTGCCCAGGCTGCGTTTCTGCCACCTTACAATACGGATCTTGCTGCTGCCCAACCGCGGTCCCCCAACCCCTGGTCTTCTGTAGCCTGCCACTCCCTCAGCTATGGGATGCTCTAGAGATGGGGAAAAATCCATCCCCTATTGTGTCAACCTCACATCTTACTTCATGCTCTTGCTCACTGTTTTGGAATGGTTGAGGCAGGGCAATGGGTATGAGGAAAATGAAAGAGAGGGGTGTTTGGGCTTCTTTTTGCTTGCTGTAGAAAAGAGATCCAGAAGGGTCTTAAGACAAGGCACTGGCAGTATTGAGAATGAACTGACACCCTCTTCTGTCCCTCGATGTTTTGTTGTTTGTCTAGTGGAGCCGAAAGA